CCCCCCCTCCCCACCTCCGTGTGTTCCTCTGTGATTACACGTGTCACTAGTGTTTCTCTAATCTCTGCTCCTCTGTGATTACACGTGCCCTGTGTGTTCCGGCCCTCTTGTGTTGAGTCACCATCCGATTCAATAGTTGACTTTATATCCCGTTTTTTTTCCCCGTGACCTCGCGTGTGTTGCCCGTCGTGGGTTTTTAAGGCATCTTGCGGGATTAAGGTGGGAACTCTGTCCAGCTTCTACTCCCTGTGCCCCTCTTCGTAAGCCCCGGTACCCCGGGCCCCCCTCTGGCCCACGGGGACTCGGCGCAGTTGCGCCGCCTGCGCCGGCCAGGCCCGCTGCTCGCGACGTCGCCGTCGCTTCCTTCGAGTCGATCCCCGTGGTGAGCCTCGGAGCGCGTAGGTTTTGTAAAACCGCCATCCGTAGGGCGGAGGGGAAGTGTCCGCCGCCGCCGCTTATCGGCGTAAGCCACCTTCGTTGCTTTGCAGCCGATGGATAATACGGAGGATTAGAGAATTGAGAAAAGCCCGCGGGCAGACCGCGCGCGCGCGCCCTGGAGAGTGTGAATTCACGTCATTTTTTTTGCTCCTCTCTCCCCTCCCCCCGCCACTCCCCATCGCCCCCCTCCTGCTGTGTTCACCTTTTTCCGGGATCTCGTCGGCACGGCAGGATTGCCGAGACGCGGCGTACATTCGCTTGGCGGCGGCGGCGGCGGCGGCGTGAGTCATCCGCGCAGGGCTCAATTTGCATTTTGGCGGCACTCGTTTTCTCGCTCTCTCTCGCTCTCTCTCGCTCTCTCTCTCTCTCGCTCTCTCTCTCTCGCTCGCTCTCGCTCTCTCTCTCTCTCGCTCTCTTTCTCGCTCTCTCGCTCTCTCTCTATCACTCTCTCTCTCGCTCTCTCTTTGTCACTCTCTCTTGCTCTCTTTCTCGCTCTCTCGCTCTCTCTCTCGCTCTCTCGCTCTCTCTCTCGCTCTCTCTCTCGCTCTCTCGCTCTCTCTCTCGCTCTCTCTCTCGCTCTCTCGCTCTCTCTCTCGCTCTCTCTCACTCTCTCTCGCTCTCTCTCGCTCTCTCTCTTGCTCTCTCCCTCGCTCTCTCCCTCGCTCTCTCCCTCGCTCTCTCTCTCGCTCTCTCGCTCTCTCTGTCACTCTCTCTCTGTCACTCTCTCTCTGTCACTCTCTCTCTCGCTCTCGCTCTCTCTCTGTCACTCTCTCTCGCTCTCTCTCTGTCACTCGCTCTCTCGCTCTCTCGCTCTCTCTCTGTCACTCTCTCTCTGTCACTCTCTCGCTCTCTTTCTCGCTCTCTCTCGCTTTCTCTCTCTCGCTCTCTCTCGCTAGCTCGGCCTTAAAAGCTTTTAGCGCGGAGATGTGCGCTGCATGCAGAGCGTGACCTCCACAACGAGGACAGTCGTAAAACCTGCCACCACCATCACCGCCACTGCCGTAGCGGTGGCGGCGGCGGCAGCAGCAGCAGCGTGCCGCATCGGCCTATTAAACGAGGCGAGCCAATTAAATGATTACACTTGCTGCAGCAGTAATGAGCACTTCGGCCGCGCTTCAACATTGCTCCTAATTAACGCGAGTCGTACGGGGAGAGGAAGCGGGGGGGGGGGGGGCGGCTCGAGCTGCGGGGAGGCAGGGACGGCCGAGCCACGGAGGAAACCAATCCACCGCGTGCGCCATCGGATCGTTCCGCGGCTGCTGCCGCCGCCGCCGCCGCCGCCGCTGCTGCGCATTACAGCCGGACGGCCTAATTCAGCAAATTGCTACATTTACTAATGAGCGTGTAGTTAATTGCTCATCAAACGAAACTAATTATAATAAATGGGGGTAATTAACAATCAATTACAATCTGCTTTATTAGGCATCTTTGTTTACGTAACCTGGGTGTGTTTTTTTTGGCGGGTGGGGGAGGGTCCTGAAAGTATAAGAGGGGGAACGATTCCGGCCGAGTGCGCTCTCGGACTTCCAATACGGTCTTCCTGCAGAGGTCTGGGGGTCACGTGACCGCTACCCACAACCCCGGCCCGGGCTCCGCGTCGTGAGGGAGCGTAGGCCGCCCGGCGCCCTCGCTTGTCGCGCCGGGCGCTGCAACGTGTTTTTTCCCCGCTCGCGGAGGGCGAGCGCCCGCCGTTTCTGCACCAACATTGTCACGAAGAGTGAAACGACTCGGTGGCGCGCACCTCCCACCCGGGCCGCGGTGGCAGATCCTCCGGTAGCGAGCGAAGGGCGGTGCCGGGGAGTGGGCCCCGTCGATGGGACACCCCGAACCGCTCGCCGGTGCTTTCGATTCCGTGAAATGTAGCGAGGGCCCTGCAGAATCCAACCGCACAGAGGCGCGGCTGCTGCTCGGCTCGGCTCGGCGACCGCGTTCGAGTTGGGCGCCGGCGTTGCTCGGCGTTGCCGGGGGCCGTCGGCGTTCCGCGGAGTTGCTTTATCTCGTCTCGTCACATTTCTCACCCGCAGCTGCCCCCCCCCCCCCCCTTCTTACAAACCTCAAGTAAATATAAGAGAAACCTTCCCCACGGTGCCACCGGCGCAGAAGCCGCCGCGATGCGGGGGTCGCGCCTCCAAACTCCGAGCGCCGCTCGGCGCGCCATTACGGAGCGCGCGTGTCTCTCGCTAGGACGCGGGGACAGTCACGGAACCCCCCCCCCCTCGCTCGCCACCCCCTCCCCCCCGGACACGACCTCCCGCAATCTGCGAGCCGACCAATTAGGATAACAAGACGGCCCACACCTGTTAATTGCCCTTTAGTCTGCGTTATTTTGAGCCGCTAACGAGAGGGCCGAGGTGGCTGTGCCGCCGCTTCCCCGGGGACCCTGCCGGGGTGGCGTGGGGCGGCTGGGGGGGGGGTGGGGTCCTTTGCGGTGATAATGAGGGTCTGGACGGCCACTCGCGTGGTCGCCCCGGGGCGGAGGCCGCCGATTTGTTTGCGTGGCCGCGCGCGAAAGGTTAGCGCGGTCCGCGGGGAGACGTCCCCAAGCGCCCCGCCCGAGGTCACCGGGCGTGCCGAGATCCTCGCGGTCGCGCCGCTGGCCTCGGTCTCCGTGCTCGCCGCACCGTTCGGACTCGCGCGCAAACACTCGGCTGCCGTCGTGCGTCAACGTGGGGATGGATTTTTCGGCCGTCATCGAGCCGATGCTCCGTGGGTGGCACGCGTCCCAGGATGCCGTGGGCCACGCGCGCCTCTCTCTCTGTCTGCGCTAACGACGGAGGGCGCCGTGTTTGACACAAGAGCGCCGTCGCGGTCCGCACCTCGTTACCCGTCGCGCCTGGGCTGGGCTGAGCTGCGGGTCGGGGTGGGGGGGGGGGCAGGGGGGGGGTGGGGGTTTGACTGCCGGGCGCCTCGGGGAGATAGAGGAGGGAGGGCGAGGGGTCGAAGTGGCAGCGCGGGAGGGGCGATGGGGGGACTCGGGGCTGAATGATGAGCGGTGGAGAGCGCTGACGGATTAGGCCAATATCACCCCTCTCCACTCCCCCCCCCCCCGCCCGCTGACTGATGGGCCGTCACGTGCGACACGCCGAGCCCCGCCGGCCTGGAGCGAGCGCCAGAACCGCGCGCATACCTCCGCGCTCGTCGCCGCCGCAAACGTGTTTATTTTTTTTTTTAGCGCCCTGTCAGTTTCCCCGTAATCCCTCGCTCGGCCGCTTCTTCACGGTCCGTGCGATAGCGTGTCGTGGGCGGCGCGACGGAGAGCCGCGCAAACTGGCACGAACTGTGTGAAAGGCAAGTGCTGCGCGCGGCCTCGGCCGGTGATGTCACCCTGCTCGGCACTCGGGCGGGGAGTGCGGGTGTGCGATTGTGTGTGCGAGTGTGCGATTGTGAGTGTGCGATTGTGAGTGTAGTGGGGAGCGGCGGTGTAGCGGTTAGCGCGCCGCGCTACGAACCTGGCGAACCGGGCTCGATTCCCGCTCACGGCCAACGCCAGTTCGGATTATCTGAACCTGTCCCTGGCCTTCCCGAGGTCGACTCGGTCTGAAATGAGTGTCTGGTGCGGTGTGTGAACATCGCCACTGGGGGAGGCAAAGGCGGCCGGGCGTGGTGTTGGCCACCCACCCCTTCGTGTGCCGTGTTGGCCTTCATAGGTGCTCACTAACAGCACTTCCCCCAATCGGCCTGTGAATCCTATACGGGGGGGGGTCGTTGTCTGTGTGTGTGGGTGTGAGAGAGAGGGTGTGTGTGTGTGTGTGGGTGTGCGAGTAGGGAGCGGTGGCGCAGCGGTTAGCGCAATGCGCTCCGAGCCCGGCGACTCGAGTTTGTGTGCCGTGTCGACCTTCGTAGGTGCCATTCGCTGTAACAGGACACTTGCACCAACAGTCTGTGAAGGCTACACGGGTGGGGTGGGGGGCGGGGGGAGGGTCTTTGTCTTTGTGTGAACGAGGCGTTATTCCCTTGCGGCGTGAGAAATGATCGGTGGCGGACGTCTGCACCAACCGTGATCCGTTAGCCGAGCGGCGCTTAATGTTCATCCCGTAATGATCAACACCGATGTATCGATTAGAAGCCGCTCCATTTCTCACGATCCACACGCCGGATTGAGCGTGGGTTAGAATCCATCACTGCTTCCATGTCATAAGCTGCCCTGTTGCTGCTGCTGCTGTTGTTGATGTTTTGTGATGTCTGTGATTTGTGACCTCGCCAAGCCTTGCGGGCCACTGCACGCAGATTCCTCCATTCATCACGCGGGCGGAATGCAATCGATTTGTGAATCAGATCGTGCCCCTAAATTGTGACCCCCCCCCCACCCACCCACCCGGATCTTAACAATTGGGTAGGGGAGGGGGGTGAATGGTTATGACCCCCACCCCACCCCAATCAGTGTCGTGCTCTCCGCATTTACGAAGCCAACAAGTTCAATGAGAATGAATAATAATAATAATGATAATGATCGGCGCGAGCGTTGTGTTTCCATCTCGATTCTGGCGGCGGCGGCGGCGGTGATCGGCGCCCCCCCTTGACTCCCGTGTGCGCCCCCCCCCGTGTGTGTGTGCCGCTCGCAGGCGAACGCGCCGACGCGGTGCGTGCGCCCCAGGGCGGAAGACGGCGGCGGCGGCGGCGGAGGCGGCGACGGTGGCGGCGAGGTGAACGGCACAGGGCGGAGCAGCTCCCAGGAACGATCTCGCGACGTGAGTCTCGCGCCGCACCGAGACGCCCGCGCGGACACGCGGACGCGCGGACGCGTGCGTGTCCGCTCGTGCAACGTGCCGTTCCACGCTTGGTCGGGGGCTCTGCTTTCTCACGCAACCTCCAGCAGAGAAATATTAATTTGGACGGCGGTGAAATCGACGTTTCACCCTCGTTGCCAGTGCAAAAGCATTTGTAACGTCCTTCGTATCCTGTGCGGTCCATCGGTGGCCGGCTTGAGGTTGGCGACACCGCCGTTGGTGAGGGGGGAGGAACGCGAGGGACCAGCCAGGGAACCTCACGCAGTCAGTGAGCAGTGGGCAGCAGAAGAGGAGGAGGAGGAGCAGCTGGCAAAGGAGACATTAAAAACAACAACAGAAAAGGTTTAACTTGAAAGTTCAAGGGAGAAAAAAGTTGCGAGTGAAATTTGTTATCCATGAAATTGAATGCGTGTCTTGAGAAGTGAGATAGGAAGTGTGGGAACGCCGTTCAGAGAGGTGTGTTTAATTTTTCATGTTCAGACCTTTGTAAGAGTCTCGCTCCATCGACATCGCGGGGAGCTTGAAGTGGAGGAGGAGGTTTAAATATTTAATGAAATGACGGCGACCTTTTCCGCGAGGCATGTTCAGATGCGGGCGAGGAGAGCTGGGGGCGAGGCGAAGGTGGTAATGGATATCATTTGCCGTCAAACGCGCCTCAAACCAAAATCGGTTTCCCAGGAAAGGAAAAAGAAAACTGAAGTCGCTCCACCGATTGCCGCGCGGGCGGTAACAGAGGGATGTTTTCTTTTTAATCGCCTTAACACATCTAAATGGCGCCGCAGCCTCTGTATTTTTGTGCGCAAAGGTTAAACGCACACCGCTAAAATACGATTTAACTGCCGTTCGGTTCCAGATTAAGACGCAGCGGACTCCTGTGACTTTTCATTGAAAAAGGTTAATCTTATCGGCAAGTTATCATCGAATCCTCACCGGAGATGGCTCCGGCAATAAGGGCGCAAGCGAGGCCTATGTGCCTCGTGGCTGTTATTCGACTTTAATAAGCCGCGGAGATCCGCGGGGGAGATGGGGGGAGGGGGAGGTGGGGGGAGGAGGAGGAGCGGGGGGAGGAGGTAATGGACGGGGATATTCGTCTGTTTGCTCGTGGATAAATCGCACGGACGCCGCGGTCGAGTCGAGTTCCCGCTGCCACGGGGCTGCATCTCCGCCGGGCGGTTGACGCCCCGGCAAAAAAAAAACCAAAACGAGCGTCTGTGCGAACGTGCGTGCGTGCGTGCGTGCGTGAGAGGCGCCGGGTGTGAAGGCCAACACGCTCGTTGGCCTTTATTTCCCGTCGCACCGCCGGCGCTCGCCGGCCCGTGCCGCCAGAAGCTGTCAGAACGCGTGATTGATGTTTTCCCGGCCCACGCTCTTTGAAGGCGATCGGGGTTCGTTTTTCACGGCGCTGCCGCGCCAACCCCGGCGAGTTTCTCGCGAGCGGGCAAGCGTGCGGCCCCAGCCGCCGTTCCCCCCCCCCCACCGCGGCTGTTCGGCCATGTGTCCTTTGGTTTGTCCGTACCGACCGAATATTACGGGCGCCCCGCGCCCGTCAAGTCCGGCGGTCCGGTCGGTGGAGTCGGGGAGCCGCTGGACGCGCGGCCGCTGTCCTTGTCGCGTCGCCGAACAGCTTCTCCCGGGTTACTTCGCTACTTGGGAGTTCCGTTTCCCCACGCTCTCTCTCCCAGCCACCCGCCCCCCCGCCCCAGGTCTCCCACACCCCCCCTCCGCACCCGCGTCTCTCCGATGCACCTCACCTGCTCGTCGAGAAAGGTCGGGCGCCGCTGGGCACAGAGGACGGGCCCCCGCGTTCCAGAAGAGAACTCGTTAAAAAAAAAACGAGCGAGCATTAAAATAATTAGCGTGGAACATGATCGCAGTGCCGAACAAAGGCAACCCCCACTCGAAGGAATTATCCTTGACGTTGAGTAACGGTGAGTGGGACCGCGAGGGTGGGGGCTGGGGGGGGGGGGGCGGGGGACGGGGGGGGCCCTGTCCGGAATAATGAAGAAAACTGTTCCCTTGTACAACACAAAAGCGTGACCTTCACTTACTGCTTTCAGCTGCCGAGCGGCCTGATTTGTTGGGTGCAAGTGCCGACTATTGTTGGGAAATGAGAGATGGATTTGGTTTCGACAATGCTCCGCTGTCGTCTCCCATTCACCGAAGCCTGATACCTACATTATCTTGGCTCCAGTGTGGCTTGAGGCCGTTCTTTAAACAAGTAAAGCAATGTGGGGTTTTTTTTTAAGCCTCTCCGCTAATGGACTGGTAAAGGGGGGGGGGGGGGGGGGGGGGGGTCTGAATGGGGCCGGCCATTCAGCAGGGGCCGGTCAAGAAAAACACGGCTTCTCCCGTTTCCTGTTTTATAAACATTGGCGAACGCGTCGGCTCGGTTAATGCCACCCAGCGAACATCGGCCGGCCGGTCGACCAGCCTCTTGTGAGGCTCCCGGGGGGCCTTCTGCAGGCTCCTGCCTCGCGCGGCGACGGAACCCACCCCGTAGGTTTGCAACCGCCCGTAATTGAATTTAAGCGCCGTTCTCCGCCGGGCTAACTGATGGGAAACGTAATTGGAATGGGCGCACACCGCTCGCTGGCTAGCACCACGATTGGACCTCTATCTGCGTATTGCTTACAATCGTCCGCCCCCTTTGAAAACGAACACAAAGCCCTCGCGGGCGCCGTTCGGCCGCTTTGGGTTTCCGAGTTGCGCCCCCGCTCCGTGGCCCCCCTCCCCCCATCGCCGCCCCTCTCCCCCGCCATGAGCGCGAGGCTCGTTCGAGGATTGGCTCGTGTTCCTCTTTCCGGCTCGCGCCGCCGCCGCCGCCGGATTGCCGCGGCCGTTTTCGCGAAAGGTGGCTCGTTTGGATTATGTCCCCATTACCCCCGGCGCCCCCTGCGGCCACGTGGGCAGGGGCGGCCTCCCCCCCCCCCCCACCCACTCTAGCCCACCGCGGCCGGGCCGCCGTTGCGCGCAAATCTAACGAGAAACTCGAGCGATCTGACATTCTGTGACCCGGCGACCCCCTCGTGTGGTTTCACGTCTCCCGTAATGTTCTCGGCGTAATAAATTGCACGGATCGGGTTTATTACCATTTAAATGGGCCCGACGGCTCTCCGAGTGCAGGTAATTAAATGTGGCCCGCACCGCGCACTGATTTATAATTCCCCTACAGCGCGGGAGCGCTCTTCCTCCCATGCGTGTGAGCGTAAACGCACGCTTTTGTCGGCTCTTCCGAAAGGCCCTGGCGCTCGCCGTCATTCGTCTCCCCGCGGCCGCGCCGTTCCGGCGGCGGCGGCGGAAGCGTTCGCACGAGCGTGCCTGCGTGCCTGCCTGCGTGCGTGCCTGCGTGCGTGCCTGCCTGCGTGCGTGCCTGCGTGCGTGCGTGCGGGCGGGCGCAACTTCCCGGAGCCAAGATCCCATCAGAATGTATAAGTAACAGATTGCGATTTGGATGCGAGCGCTCTTTGCAAGAACACACACTGCCATTTCACGTTCATTAGGTAAAGGAAATTGACTGGGACAGGCAATTTCTTCCGTTTTGCGAGCCGGCGTCTGCAATGCAAATGGGAGGGCCGTGCGGCCGCGCGTTTGGCCGAGCGGCGGTGGCGGAGATGAATCGCGTGACGTCGGAATGAGTGCCGGTGCTTTGGAGAGTTGTTATTATTATTATTGTTAAGGATGCGATGATGGCGGCAGGGTTACTGGCCGGGGAGCGGTGGGGTGGGCAGGGGGGTGGTGGAGACTGTGGCGACTAACTCCGACTTCCCGTCTGCTTTCTCCGCAGAGCTCGCAGCATTCCACGTCCGACAGAGGCTACATCGTGAGTATCCATATAGCACCCCCGACTTGCCCCCCCCCCCCCCCCCCCCACGTGTAGCGCCGCGCGAGTCGTCGTGCCGCGAGAGCCGAAACGCGCCGACGGCGTTTTTGCGAGCGCCGCCAACTCCGGGGTGGGAGGTGGACCCCAGCAGATGGCAGCACGGCGAGCGGAACTCTCGGGGGCTAAACGCACGGGGGGCTGTGGGGGGGGGAGGGGACGTGGTGGGGGGGTAGGGAGGGGGGGGATCTTCCCCCGAGGCCGGCGGGAGCCGTGAGCCGGCGTGAAGCGCCCAATTACCAGGATGGAGCGCTCGGTGCGGGCCGGAATAGCCGAGCGGGGAGACGCGGCTCTCCTCAGGGGTCACCGCCGGGTCACCCGCAAACTAAGCGGCTAACACCGCCGGCATGAATAAAATGGAGCCTTAATTGAATTGTAACGTGTAATTATTATTTTTGCTTAAGTCTTCCCCCACCCCCCCCCCCCCCCCCCCCCCCACCTCGTATCGCCGCCAACCGGCAGGGCCGGTCATCGCGCCAGCGAGGTGAATTTACGCGTCTGCGCGCGAGTTCATAAATCGTGGCAAAAGCCGGCGCACGAAGCGCGGTCGTAAAGAATAATTTACCAAAACTGCCGCGCTGCTTGTTTTTTTTTTGCTTGCGCGCGTGTGTCACGGTGGCCGACTGCTTTACGACGCATCGCGGCGCTGCCGCGCCGGCGGCGGCGGCGGGGGGGGGGGTTTGTGGCTTTGCCGCAAGAGCGAGCCCACCACCCCTCTCCCCCAACCACTCCCGTTATCCCCGCTCGGCCGCCAACCCGCCCCCCGCCCCTTGCGACGTGCTGCGTGATTGAAGCCGTGTTAAAATAAGCTCCGGCTTAAAAGGGAGATTTAAACGGGCCGCTGAAAACGTCGGGGGCACGCTCGCGGGAAAGGGGGGGCACGCTCGCGGGAAAGGGGGGCACGCTCGCGGGAAAGGGGGGCGCTGCAGCTCGCGGTGATGAAATATATCGGCCGTGCGGCAAACGCGCCGCTAACAGCTGCCGCCACGAGGAGCATTCATCACCGGTCTCCCCAAACTGCCGTCCGCCATCGGGGGAATAATGAATCCGGGACCGGTGCGCGCCGTTTTTCATTTAAAAGTTTCTCCCCGTGAACTTGGATTCTTCCGCCGTTTGTGCGGTTGCATTTTTCACTAAAATTGCCTCCCTCTAACCTCGGTGTCGCCGTCCGACTGTAACGGTCGCGGCGGCAAACAAAAACACCGACGGCAGCGGCGGCGTTGCTATCGGATGCTTTGCCAATTTTATGTTCCCATACTTACAGACAAAGGTAAACGTCCCCCGTATAGGCTTCACAGACTGTTGGGGCAAGTGCTGTTAGCGAGTAGCACCTATGAAGGCCGGAGCGGTACACGAGGGGGGTGGGTGGCCAGTACCACATCCGACCGCCTTTGTCTCCCTAGTGGTCATTTGAGGCTGAGTCGACCTAGGAGAGGCCCAGGACCGCTTCAAATAATCGTCACTTGTATTGGTGGCCGTGAACTCGGGGTCGCCGGGTTCATAGCGCAGCGCTCTAACCGCTACACCACCGCTCCCCACACAGACACACACACACGTGCGCACGCACACACACACACACACGAGCCAGTCTACAGCTGGGCCCCCACGGTTGCGTGCCGCCCTCTCCTTACATCCACCTCCCCCCCAACTGACGCCCCCCAACCCCCACGCGGCGGTGCAGCCAAAAGCAAGAGAACGCAGAGACTCCCCCGTGGCTCCCGCGTGGAGATTTGTCGGCTCAGGGCCTGCGGAGAAATAAGAAAAATAAAGCCTCCCCTGTTCCTGTCTGCTGCGACCCAGCAGCAGCAGGCCTGGGGGTCGATAGGGAATGGGAGCTTGCCCCGGTTTTGGGGGCCACGGGGGGTGGGGGGAGGGAGGGGCAGGGGGGAGGAGGAGGCCTGGCGCTGGGGAGAGAGCGGCGGTGGAAAGCCGCGGGAGTAGGTGGGAAATTAGGAACACGGTCGGACGAGGTCTTTGGGGGTTGTCAGCCCAGACCGGGCTTGGCAGTCTTGGGCAAAAGCGGATGGGAAAAGTGTTTGATTTACTGAGACCAATTAAAGCTCATAAACAGGGCTTTGTTGTAAGGATTAGCACTGGATTTGAAAATCAGAGTCGAGGAATAAATCACGCGCTCGCCACGCTCGCCGCGCTCCGGCTTACGTATGTCTGCTCAGCTCTCGCAGCTTCCACACCATGTTCTGGCCCATGCTGCCGTTAAAGACATGACACCTGTGTGTGTGTGCATACGTACGCTCGCTCGTGTGTGTTTTAATACTATTGGGGAGCGGTGGTGTAGTTTTTATCACGCCTCGTTACGAAGACGGCGACCCGAGTTCGATTCCCCTCTCACGATCAAAGCGGTGGCGAATATCTGAACCGGGCCTGGGTCTCCCCAGGGGTGACTTGGCCTTAAACGAGTACCCGGGTACGGTTTGTAAAAATCAGCCCTGGGGAGACAAAGACGGCCCGGTGTGGTTTTGGCCACCCACCTCCTCGTGTGCTGTTACGTTCCTTTCATAGGTGCTACCCGCTAAGAGCACTTGCCCAACAGCCTGTTAAAGACTATACGGGGGTGCGGGGGGGGGGGAGAAGCGATCTTTGCATCCGTGTTTTGAATCCTGCCATCGCTCTATCTCTGCGACGTGCTCTCGGGTCGTGCCGCGCGTCGCTCCACGTGGTGGCAGCTTCTGCGGGAACTGTTCCTGAAGGGGCTGCCGGCGGTGTTTTCGAGCCGTGAGGCCTCACCCAGCGCTATCGCCGTAGCCGAGGTCGGTGTTGGTGATGGCGAGTTGATTTGCCGGGTCCCCAGCGAGGTTCTTTTATTTATTTTTATTTTCTCTCGCCGCGTCGTGTCTTTCATGCGAGAGGCGGCTGATGAAGACGAGGCCACGGCGTTTGCAGCGCGACCTCGTCCTCGCCCTCCTCCTAATCACGGTGGAGCCCATTGTCGTTCGTTAATTCAAACCCGGCTCGCTTTTTCTTTCGCCTTTGCAAGGTTCGCCTTTGTGTTGAAGTCGCTGGAGTAGCAGGGTGAAAAAAAAAAGTTTTAGCGAAGGCCTATAGCCCCCCCGCCTCTTTGCCAGGCTCGCTGATTTATTCCGCCAAAGTCTTTCATCAGCCGCACATTTGTCTGCTCGAGAGAGCCACATAATGAATTGGCCAGGCTGTCATTTGCCAGACAATCGCAGAGCGTCGAGCGGAGATGGATTTCAAACGCTCGCTAAATGGAGCCGTCCTTTGCCGCTCGTTTTTTTTATGCAAATCTGCGGGGGATAATTGAAGCGCACTTAAAAAAATATATAAAACTTGTCGCCGGTTTTGCTGCTCGAGATTTAATGCGGGGACGTAATACAGCGCTCCCTTTTCAGAGCCACCCATGAAAGGCCGCCCTCTTCGGCTTTCATGATCGTGCGAGGAGGCCGTCCGGAGCTCTGCGTCGGAGAAACCCCCCCCCCCCCCCCCCCGCTGGAGTGGCTTTTCCAGGAGCCTGCCGCGTTTCTTGGAAGCGGACTTGCGCCTTTCTCTCCACGGCGGAGCGTTAATTCACTCCGACGAGCAGCGAGACCCCTGAAAGTGCAAAAAAAATAATTTTACTTTCTTACATTTAGGAGCGTTCAGTCTGTCACCCGCGAGTTGCAGGCAGGCAAAAAAAAAAACAACCCACCGAGGCTGCTTTCTTTCACTTTCACAGTCTTCAGTTTCCTCGGTTTGTGTTTTAATTTCGCACGCGTTCCTCCGAGAGTCAACCCTGGCGCGGAGTCTTCGGGCCTTTTGTTTTATTATTTAGCGAACGTTTCTCCACGCGAGTCGGGATTAGGGGCCGCGCCGAGCTCTGCCGCGATTGGAGCCGCGGCCGTCAAAACTTGCCACCTGGGAGCGACACCCGGACATCGCGCCAGACCGGGACCCACGGACGCCCCGCGGTCACGAGTGATCTGCCTCCCCTCGGCAGAGAGGGTTTCACCACGGGGTAATTTGTTGTTGGGTTAGATCGCGTAAATATAAATGTGGCGTCGTTAAACCCGCCACCACCCGACGCAGCCACTTAGTAAGGGTTTGTCACCTAAACGGAACGTGCCAAATCGTTACTGGTACAGCACACCGGTTGTGTGTTGGAGAGCAGATCCACAACATTTACAGTGCGAGTGCGACGTGTTCAACGGAGGGTTTTAACGTTGTGCGAAGTGCGGTTCCTCGGCAGCGGCGTCTTGTAAAACCGCCAACGCACGGCGGCCGCGTCGATGGCGGGTGGCGCGCGCCCGGGCCGTTGCCACGTCGCGCCACGTGCAGCACGGCCCTCGGCGGTCGCGTACGTCGGCCCCCGCGCGCCCGTAATGCCGCGCTCCTCGGCCACCCCCTGCCCCTCCTCTACCCCGCTCGGCCCACGGCGGCAGCGGCGGCGGCGGCCCAGCCTGCCAGCTGTGTTTGCTTTGGCCCGTCTGCCCGGGCTTACTAGCAGCGGCAGCGGCAGCAGCGAAAACGGCGTAAATAATAAAGACGAATGTCCCGTAGCTTATTGAGGAAATAGTTATTTCTGACTCGCACTCCCGGTCGGCCAGAGCTTCCCCGTCCGGGTTTGCGTTACGGAAGTCTGCGTCCCTGGGGGGTCTTCTCGCTGCTCGGCTTTGGGGGAGGGGGTTTGCGGAGGGAAGGGGTGGGGAGTGAATGCGAGGAGGGCGGTGGGGGGGTGTGCGGAGGTAGGGGGGGGTAGGGGCGGAAAGCCTTGACAGTCTTATTGGTTCCATCTGTGAGGAGGGGAATGGATCAGAGGGGCTGGAGGCGGGTGGGGGGGGGGGGGTGGCTGCGGCGAGGTGGAAATATAAGAAGTCAAAATAAAAGGGGGCTCTCAGTTCTACGTGCGGCGGCGGAAGTGGAGGCTGCGCCCCGCCACGCCGCCGTAACGTCGACTTGCCGGTGCTTCGTTTACCGTGTGCCACACAGGG